TATTGTCTTCCGTGTCTTGAAGAATTTCGTAGAAAGCCGGTTTTATTCGGTCTATGGAAATTGTCTCGTTCCTTCCATTTTTATTGATGATGAAATGTTTGTTTGTTCGTTTAATTACTTTGTAAGGTCCTTCGTACGGTTGTTTCAATGGCTTTCTCACTGCGTCGACTCGAACAAAAACGAATTTGCAGGTCTCTAGATGTTTATCAAGTTGTATGCGGTTTTTATGTTCGCGCGGAGGTATCGCTTTAATGCGTTGCATCGTTTGTAATAGTCGGCTTGCGAAACCATTTAGATCATTTGACATTATTGATTCTTGATCGATGTAGTACCGTAAACTTGTTCAGCTGAAGTGCATCCTAAATCCTCCTTGATGGTTGAACGAATTCCCAGGAGTACAAGTGGTAGTGCGTCACTCCATTTTGCTGTATCAGTTTGTGCCATCAGTGCGCTTTTCAATTGGCGGTGAAATCTTTCGACCAGACCACTAGCCACTGGATGATAAGCTAACGTTTTAATGTGGTCCACACCCAGAAGTCTTGTGAATTCCTGAAATAAGATAGACTGGAACTGGGGACCACGATCTGTAGTGACGATAGATGGTACTCCATAGTTTGATATCCATTGGTCAAGGAATGTAGCGGCTACTGTCTCTGCAGAAGTGTCGGCGATGGAACACGCTATAGCCCATCTTGTGAATCTGTCCGCCGATGTGAGTATATGCGTGAATGATTTTGATGGCGGCAAGGGACCGACTATATCTAGATGGCTGTGTTGGAAACGTTTCTCCGGCAAAGGGAACTTCCCAACAGGACTGACTGTGTGTTTTTGAATTTCGCTGCGTTGACATTGTAGGCAGCTTCGAGTCCATCGTTTCATATCTGGGTTAATCTTTGGCCACACGAAACGTTTAGTAATCAGTTTAGTTGTGGCTCGGATTCCTGGGTGTGAAAGAACGTGTAAGTGTAGGAATATTTCTCGTCGGCAAGCGTGTGGGACGAAAGGGCGATTGTTGCCTGTTGAGGTGTCGCACATGATGAAAGTATCTGAGAAAGGCATGGGTATAAGTTTAAGATTCAAGCTAGACTTCTCTTTGCAGGATTTCAATTCTGCATCGTCTACTTGGAGTTTAGCTAAAGTTTCGAGACTGATGTCTTTGTGTACTATCGTGTTAATGTCCTTTCTAGACAGAGCGTCAGCGACAATGTTGGAAGAACCTTTGAAAAACTGGATGTCTGTAGTAAATTGAGAAATATAATCCAGTTGTCTGGCTTCCCGTGGAGAATGCTTATCATACGAAGTGCTATAGGAGTAGCAAAGGGGTTTGTGATCAGTCATAATAGTGAAATCACGACCCTGTAGCAGGAAGTTGAAATGTTTTACAGCCAAATACATAGCCAGAAGTTCGCGTCCAAAGGTGCTATAACGTTCTTGGGTCGGCGATAATCGTTTGGAAAAGAACGCTATAGGTTTAATGTTGTTGTTCACGCGCTGCTGTAATACTGCTCCTACTGCTTTCTGGGAGGCGTCGGTGCAGAGGATGAGGTGCGTTGTGGGGTCGGTGTTTAAATGCTGTAGCATAGTAACTTTGGATATCGTTGATTTCGCTTGTTTGAAAGCCTCTCTGGCCTCAGGCGTTAAGGTGAAGGTACTCTCTTTTTTGTTCTGAGTTAAGGTTTTATCAATCTTCAGTAAATCTGTCAAAGGTTGCAAGATGGCCGCGCAACTAGGGAGGAAACGTCGGTAAAAATTGCACATTCCCAGGAACCGGCGCAATGTCTTTATCGACTTGGGCTCAGGGAAATTGAATATAGCTTCGAATTTTTTCTCAAGTGGTCTAATTTCTTGGGAATCAATGTGATGTCCCAGAAATTCTATAGTTGAGGCTCCGAATGTACACTTCGAAGGATTGATAAATATACCATGCTTTTTAAAGCGTTCGAAATCAGTCTGTAAGTGTTGAATGTGTTCTTCGAGTGTTAAACTGGCAATTAAAACGTCATCGATATAGACAAATACAAAATTTATTCTCGAGTGACTTCGTCCATGAACCTCTGTAACGTTTGTGCGGCGTTTTTTAGCCCGGATGGCATTCTCAAAAATTCAAACAGACCAAAAGGTGTGATTATAGCTGTTTTTCAATGTCTTCGGGAGCCATTGGGATTTGATGATAGGCTTTTACCAAGTCAAGTTTCGAAAAAACTTGTTTTCCATGTAGATTTAAAGAGAAGTCGTGTATATGGGGTATGGGGTACCTATCTGGGATAGTTTGATTATTTAATCGTCGGTAGTCTCCACATGGTCGCCAATCGTAGTCCTTCTTTGGAACCATGTGCAGCGGCGAAGCCCAAGGACTGTTCGATTGTCTGGTTATCCCGAGTTGCATCATATGTTCAAATTCTCTTTTAGCTATCTGCAACTTGTGTCGTGGAAGTCTCCTTGCCTTGGCACAAATGGGTGGACCCGTAGTGATGATATGATGTTGTACGTGGAGTGCTGTGGATTCCGTTTGGTAATTTACTTTTGTGATACATTCGTATTTCCTCAGAATGTTGGTGAAAAGTTTGTTTTCAGGTTTTACTATATGAACACCGTAAATCTCTTAATCAGTAGCAAGCGTACCATTCACTTGTAAATGTGTGCATTGGTCAATCAACCTCTTGTTATTCATATCTACTAATAATTTGTAGGCGCTTAAGAAGTGAGCTCCGAGAATTGGTCGTTTGATTTGAGCGACTATAAAGACCCAAGTGAATCTTCACCGAAGACCGAGATATAGAATGAGAGATTGTTCTCCGTAGGTTTTGATAAGTATTTGATTGGCCGCCTGTAGTGACACATTGCTGTATGTAGTGTGTCGCCGTCGTGAAAGCTCTAATGGGATTATGCTGATTTCTGCTCCGATATCGACTAAGAAGTCTGAGCCAGAAATATGATCCCTGATGTGGAAAGGCGGCTAGCGTGTTGACCAGTAGCAGACGCCGCCATTACTGTCTGTCCGGCCTGTTTCCCTGATTTTCTTGGCTGTTTGTTGTGAAGTCGCACGGTTGTGTGCAACGACGTGCGTTCTTACCATACCTCGTATGATACCAACAAATATTGACTGCCTTCTTGGGGGACCTTGAACGATGTCTTGACACTGCTCTTTTTCTAGAAATGGATCTATTAGGTCGAGAACGGATACTCGCAATAGTAGCTTGTAATGATGCTAACTGAGTTGTTAACTGTGTTAATTGTTGCTGAATGTTGGGTGTTGTGTTCGTATTGTCATTACCAGAAATTCGTATCGCGTTTAGACAATGCCTGTCGGGGTAGATCTCCATCATTTTGTCCGCCATGTCGGCTAGATCCTCGAGAGCGACGGATTTCCCTGAGACGCTAAGAATTTGTATCACGTTATGTGGTAATCTTTGCAACCACATTTGTTTTAGGAGAGTTTCGTCCAGGTTGTATGGACCAGCAAGTTGTTTCATGTGGCGAAGAAGTTGGGAGGGTCTCTTGTCTCCCAAGTCACAGGAAGTTAGCAATAGTTGTAATCGTTTTTCGTCTGAGACAGACGTGCGCTGTATTACTGCTGCTTTGATTTTGTCATAAGGATCTGTCTCTGGTACATGGTCAATCAGATCACCGATTTCCGTAGCGATTTCTATGGGTAGAGCGCCAACAACATGGGCATATTCAGTCGCTCATGAACGTATGCCTCTCGCTAAAAATAAGGCCTTTACCTGCGCGAACTAGATTCTAGGGTTGTTGGCACCGTATGTTGGTAATCGTAACTCGGTAATAGCATTCACCGAACTTAAAATATGATCGTCTGCATGTAATGAGTCGAGGGGTTTCACTGGTGGACCCTCCATATCGATAAGTTTATTTGGAGAGTACGTGATATGAAAAAACTAGTGTTTCAAGTAAAAATATGAACAATCAAACTATAATACACTCTAGGCTCACCAAATAATAGTGGTGGACCAGACAATATATTAATCCAAAAGGTAATGTATGATAATTAGAAGTATTTGAATTATAGTATGAACTAATAATCCCAGGGATAACGCAATTGAATCAAGAAGTACTACACAAGCACTAACGAATGTACTGTATTTAGAATTCGAAATCAAACATTCAACAAGTACCAAGGAGTCATTAGTTTATTCAAACACCACATAATGATAGAGTTATTATTAACAAATAGCAATATTTAAATATATAAGTTAAATGTCATAAACACAATAGAAATAAGGAACGTTACTTGGTTTACAAGGAGAGGGCGTGTTCCGAATTGATCTGGTGTTAAATATCCACAATTATAGATGATTAATAATTCCTGTGAGTGTGATGGGTTCCCCAATGATAGGATTCAGTAGTAAATATGGTATATTCCAATTATCGTCTGTAAAGATAAATGGTACTTGATTCAGACTTCAGTTAACACAAATGCGAGTGAATTTAGAGCGAGAGGTATGTGTGTAGTAGTGTATTTTGGAAACGACCACAAAAAGTGTCACGCTATGTTAGTATCACAACGGAAAAAGTGATCGAGGTCATTTACTAAAACAATAGGTACAATGATTAAATAATAAATGCACACACAGTGAAAGATTGACAAAATGAATACAAGTAATATTAAAAATTATTTACAGAATAAGTTTGACAGACCTATCTCCACAGAACTCTACTCTGTAATATCGTAGATTAAGAGGTGATCTGTTTTTGATGTATTCAATGCTGAGAGATGATTTTGGACATAGCGATGTTCTTTTTCTTCCCATTAGATCAATAAATTTCAGAGGACGCGGCAGGTGAGCAAAAAAGTCAAGAGCGAACAAAATGCCGGTGGCATAGATATCTTGACACCGAGTCATCAATTCTTGGAATCTGTTACCCGAAGTAGTAGTATCTGCATCTACAAATGATTCATTCAAGTAACAAAACAGACGCTCACAGAAGCATGCTAGAAGTGGAATAGCATGGACCGTAGGCATTCTCTCCTTACTATATAAATTTGATTCTCACCTTTCTATACTGTACCAAATTGGCGGTATTTACGAAGATGGTGTTACTCAATGGTTTATGTAAGGTTTTATATTTTAAACCTAATAAAATCAAGATTTTCCTTCTTGGCATCGTATCGGCTTACTTCATTGCTTCCAAAAATCGTCGGCATCTTCCGTGGGCGTATTTAATTCAGGCGATTACATGCGTGAAGTAGTTAATTTTTTATGATTCTTCAATAAACAACAGGGGTCAGAAATTAATGAACAGGATGTATTGTACAAAAAGTTAGTTATCACCGTTAAAGGTCATGAGCCAATGGTGTTAAAAAGTTACGAAACTTTTGTCAAACAAGTTTGTGATAATCTATCTATAGCTCTTATAAGGTAATGTAGGATTTCTAAAAAGAATTATTAATAAGTGAGACTCGTAACCGACCGACGTTTTTTCGCTTGTCCATGAACAAATCACCGTTTATTTACAAGAAACAGCAACGCCAGTATGAGTTTCGCACACACTACAAATACTTCACAGTAAGTTATTTTATATTGTTAGAATACCATTTAGGTTGATCATATAACAGGATGTACTGCTGACGTATTTCTGGAATATATTCAAAGAAATCTACCCGAGGGTGTAGCTATGGAAGTTGTAAAGGTAAGACAAACTAGATATCGAATATCTACACTACTCACCGTCTCAAGCAATACAGCACGGCGCCTACTGCTGAGATTAATAATGTAGTTCTGCAGTGCATTAAAAATTGTTTTCATATGAAACTTTTTTGAGAGGTAATTTTATGTCAAAATGAATTGTGAGTGGATCTTACCTTTGATACTATTTTGATAGTAATGTATACAATTACGGTAGTTTTTAAATATTATATGTTTTAAAAAAACTAAAAACCACTAGCATCTTTGTTGGAAGAGATCATGTTTATATGCACACAGGGCCACACCAAATTTTAGAAGGGGTATTGTCGAGCAACAGTTAATAAATCTAGGTAAAACGTGAGGCATTCTATAAATCCGTAAAAACTTGATAAGTTTGTTTGAACTGCTCTACATAAATTTTTCACAGTTCGCTCCTGTTTTTTTCCAGTAGGTTTCAACAAAGTGCCAGTTTAGATACTTAAAGTTTATTTGATTTAGGTGAATGAAGCCATAGTGTCCTGATAATTGTAATGACGAAAATCACACGAATCTGTAACATAGCGAGAAGACTTTCGGCATTTTCTTAATTCACAAGGTTTATAATCCATGCAAATTACTAAAACAAGGCTTTTGTGACAAACCACGAACAACTTTAATAACATGTTTTTGTATTCTAATCGCCGAAACAATGTGAAAAGCTTTTTAAAAATACTTGTTTTCCCGGAAGTATTGTAAGTAGTCTAAAGTGAATAAAAAACAGCGTTCTAGGCCTTAATTGTGCATGTAGATTTTAAGTCAAATTCGCTCTAATATTTAAGGAGATATGTTGACTTCAGCATTTTCTTTCGTAAAAGTTTTTAGCGATAACGAAAATGCAGATGTGTTCGCATTTTGCCTCCTGTCATGTTTGCGAGTTTAGTCTTAGGATAATTTTCTTAGTCCCAAATTAATTATGCTTTCTTTAGACATGAGGAAAAAACAACCCCAGTGGGGCCTGTAGTTGTCTTAATAATATATGTACTTATTGTAGACAATTCATCTCTCATTTTTTGTACTTTGTTTCTTCCGTGCATTTGTTTTCCTTTTTTGATAGATTTCACATATGAGTGAAGTGTAATTTAAAATAAATGAAAATCAATATTCATTAAACCATAATTGATACTACTTAAGATCAGTTGTAATGATTCAGATGCATTCACTCTTGTGGCATGGCATAAATATCTTTCTATTCGGTTTAGTAAATGTGAATCAGAAAAACAGCTCCATAGATTGTATATTTTTCTCATGCAACCGACTCACAGTTATTCACATAATTATTTGTTTCAACAAACGCCGCCAAATGCCCTGGTACTGCCGAGAGTGGGGAGAGTCCGCTCACCCTCGAAAAATGCTCTCACATGGCCATGCGTATATAGCCTCTACCAGGGAAGTCCTACTCACTGCCTTCTCGTGGAGGGGGTGTTGTTTACAAAAATGAGAGGACGAAAAGCGAATGTCCGGCACTTTAACCGGATCCCAAACCAATCGTGCACATGGGCTGGCTCCAATATCCTGAAGGAACAAATGGCGTATGAACTAATCGTTGGTGACCGGCTACCATGGGACTGCATCTCCTCACGATGCTCCACTGCCTTGTGGGTCAGACTTTCAGGTAGAAGGCTCGGGGTGTGGCCCCCTAAGAAAACCACCTGCTTCGGTTTGGGCATCCGGGCAGTATCACAGCCCTCACACAAATCAATTGAGATTCGTGTGGCGCATATGTACTTGGTGCCTCCCTGTACATATACTTATGTGTTAAAATAAATAAAAAATAGTTTCAACAAACGCTAATAGTAAACTTTTTTTGGTTTATAATTTTAGCATCGTTTGGAACGCCTTCCGGAGCATTTATAAGTCGCTGGGACTTCTTAAATGACTTTAAATTATAGAATATATGTAAATACATTCCACAGTTGTTTTGACTTTTTTCAGTGTGATAACTTTTGCCAGAAATAAAACGTGACCCTATATTCACATACTCTATAACAAGTTATCAAGCTCTAATAACGTTAACATTTGACTCAAACTTAATGCATGACAAATCAGTTTACATTTAAGGCTAGTAGTATAATTCTTTCTCAACACCTCCCGTTAGCATCTAGTAGTGTATAAATCGGTCCGAGTCTCAAACGCAAGCCATGTTTTCGGAAGTCAAAATATGCCGTAAGCTGTTGTTGAACACTCATTTATTATAGTATAAATGAGATGCTATTAATTTTCGAAGTTACTCCATTGGTTCAACTCACAATCAGTTATAACTGGTTTCTTTAAACCAATCGTAGTATTATGTTTATAAGAAACTTATTGAGTATTTGAAATGTTTAGAACTTTCTCCCAAAGACCTGTCTTTTAGTGCTGTACTAGTATATAGATAGTGTGTAAAGGTATATTGCACTATGCGATTACTCAAATCAAAGTAAGATGTAATTAGCAACGGACCAAACACAACTTCAAAGAATAAAATGAACTAGTTAAGTCAATCTACGTCAAGGTGTTCACTACTTCAGGCTCTTTTGAAGTTCGTTTTGGTTAATCAAAGCACCTGTTAAATCGTAGCAAAGACTACGAAGTTCGACAACAAACGAAGTACTTTCTTTAATCGCAAAGTTTGTTCAATATATTGGATGAAAATACTTTGAAGTTGAATCTCAAATTTCCAACCGTATCATTACTGGTTCTAATGTCCTAAAGTTCATTTAGTTTATTAGATTCGGTTAATGTTTTGAAGATACCAAAGGATCAGAATAATCTCGAAATTTCTTCAAATTTATTGACTTAAAATATATATCCAGTTAAAATGAACCTATAATTTTGTTAAGCACATGTTCCAGGATATAAAACTATTAAATTTTATATACAAAGATGGATAGTGGAATACAGTTAACGCGCGTACCATCCTATTTGGGACTTGTCAGCTGGATCTAAGATTTGATGTTCACTCTGAGATTCGAACTTAAGTGAATTTAAGTATTAAGTTTTCATTATTGGGGTTGTGGAGATTATTAAGTTTTTGATTGAGATCATGAATCGACTGATGTTAGACCACCGTTGGAGACGTGGAAGCACTGGACGGCCGTTTCGTCTTAATATGCGACTCCTCAGCAGTGCGTATCCACGATCCCGCTCGTGGGATTCGAACCAAGGACCTTCGATTTCGTGCGCGGACGCTTAACCACTGAGCCGGCATCCAATGGTGTTAGTGTCTAACATCAACCAATCCATTAAATTGCGCGACCATCTTCCATTGTACTGAGGTAGATACCTGTCTCTACCCGACACGGATTAGCTCTACTGGTCACGGTTTCTCACTAGAACTTCGAGAAGTTTTCCCTGAAGTTCACAAATGTGCTTTGAAAAAAAAATTATTCAGAAGTTGTGTATAGTGAAATGGTATGTTACAAATTATGCTAATCATCAAGTGTTTGAAATATCATTCAGAATAGAGTATCTTTACTTGTTGTTGTTGTTTCGTTACAAACTTATGATCTACTATTGTAACACTATGTATTAGCTAAGACAAACAAATCAATTTATTTGTAAAAAGCATTTTATTTTAAACAAACACATCCTATATTTAGAAGAAGAAGATAACTATTTATAATACCAAAGATCTTTGTAAATGAAAGATACAATTCATTGAATAAAACAAACTCATTTACAAGTTGAATAAATGAATGAATTGAGAAATACACACACATGGGGGGACACACACACACATATACATACATACATACATACACGTACTTGTATGTGCGCTCATTAGAAACGCTGGTTTCCACAACAACATCAATCTACTCAACGGCACATGAATTGAAATCAAGAATAAATAAAAGTAAAAACTATTACTAGAAAGAAGAAAAACACAACCAAATTAGCGAGAGAAAGTAGAAATAAACAAAAAAAAACAAGGGGGGGGGGAATGGTAAATGTAGATATATATATATAGATATATATAGAAAGCAATTACTTATGATATACGATGAGTAGTATATTATTAAAAAGGTTTGATTATTGTCATTAGTGTTCTTCATCATAATCCATATGAAGATGTTGTATAATATTAGTTTAATTATATATATTATTGTTATTATTTATGCAGAACTAGAAACAGCTAATTTTTTTAAATGTTCCATAAAACCTTGTAATGATACATCATCTGTTAATACTGCACTACCAGAATCCTAAAAGTTACAATTTTATAATAAACAGACAATCATTATTGAATAAAATTAAAGAAATAATAGCAAAATATAATATAGCATAGATACAATTTCCGCTAATCGATAATACGGTGGATGGGATGGTTGACAAGATTGTCCATTTTCTTAGTTTTGTATAATACCACTAATTTAAATTAGATAATTATTGAAAACTAGAAAGTAGTAAGAGGTTATTAAGTTGTAATATGGAATTTCTTAGTAGTTTACATCTACGACCTTGTAGTGACCTATTTTTGTCAATAGAACGCGATTGATTCAATGAAAACAATTATTATTATTATTATTATAACCAATTGTATCAGTGATTGTTTTATTGTGCTTGTTTGTTTAACTGTGCTAATGACAGCTAATATACTTAATTACTCTCCCGTTGACTTGGAACTTGTACGAATACGGTTACGCTCAGTAACCACACTTGTACTCCCTTTGGCACGATCTCGGTATTCTTTCGATACCACGAGATCGCTAACAAATACATCTTGATTACAGCCATCATCTGTCTTCTGATATTGGCCTACGGGAATCTTATTAGTTAATTGGCACGTAGTTATCTTGTAGTTGTGTTCATAGTGAAGCTCAACTCGACACCACGCTACAACCCTATCAGGGGTTGAATCTAAAACTTTCACCTTACGCTTTTTAGTATATATTTATGCTTTGGAAATGAATTCGTTCTTCAAGAATCCTATTAGAATCGGTTAAAGAATAAAAATTTCTTAAAATGACTCTTTCAAGCTCCTGAACTATACGTTACAGATTTTTTTAGGGCATCAAAAATTGTATTTCCAAAGGTTGATTATCAGGGGAATTTATAAATTTATTCCCGTTTACAAAAAGATCTCAACTTTGTTGATACAAAGACAATATGGAAGTAGAAGTTATTATTTTATTTGAACACATATGCGCCACACACAGATCTCATTTGATGTGTGTGAGCGCTGTGATACTGACCGGGTGCCATGACCGAAACAGGTGGTTTTTGGGGGACCACACCCCGACCTTTTGACCTAAAGGTTAGATCCGACCCACAAGGCAGTGGAGCATCGTGAGGAGATTCAGTCCCATAGTAGCCGGTGATCAACAATTGGTTCATACGCCATTTGCTCTCGCAGGATACTAGGGCTAGCTCTTGTGCACCATTAATTTAGGATCCGGTTATAGCGCGGGAAATTCACTTTTCGTCCTCACAATTTCGTGAACAACACCCCCGCCACGAGAAGTCAGTGAGTAGGACTTCCTTGGCAGAGCCTGTATACGCGTGGCTGTGAGAGTATTTCGAGAGTAAGGGCGAATCCACCTTACTCTTGGCGATACCAGGGCATTTGGGGGTTATTATTAGACAATCTACTTCATATATACCTGTATATGATCTTTCATCAATCTGTTTAAAGTCATTAGCAATGAAATCATTGCAAAACATGGAATAATCTATTTTTTTTGCCCCCAAATGTCCTGGTACGGCCGAGAGTCGGAAGACTCCGCTCTCCTTTCTCGAAATGCTCTCACATGTCCACGCGTATACAGCCTCTGCCAGGGAAGTCCTACTCACTGCCTTCTCGTGGCGGGGGTGTTGTTTACAAAAATGAGAGGACGAAAAGAGAATGTCCGGCGCTTTAACCGGATCCCAAACCAATGGTGTACATGAACTGGCTCCAGTATCCTGAAGGAACAAATGGCGTATGTACCAATCGTTGGTCACCGGCTACCATGGGACTGCATCTCCTCACGATGCTCCACTGCCTTGTGGGTCAGACGTTCAGGTCAAAGGCTCGGGGTGTGGCCCCCTAAGAAAACCACCTGCTTCGGTTTGGGCACCCGGGCAGTATCACAGCCCTCACACAAATCAATTGAGATTTGTGTGGTGCATATGTAAATCAATGACAAAGTTAGACGATAGCTTATTTATATTCCTAAAGAACATATTATGATTTAATATAATAGGGATTAGGACTAACAAACATAATTCATGTTTAACTTACCAACTATAAGTGATAATGTGAATAGACAAAAATCTTACAAATACAAACAATTCATAGTGCATAAAAACAAATATTGGAAACGGAAACAAATGGGGGAGTTAGATCTTATTTATTAAAATGATTATACTAGAGTGCAAAACGAATCAAATTGAAGGGTGCGAGCACACAAAAACATTGAGAAAAAAAAACAAACAAACATGGAAACTGATAGATCTTCGATAAAATTCCAGATCAATACTAATCACATCATTTCGTTTACTTCCACTGCGAAACATACTCATGAACAATCCATGTTGATATTCGGAAGGATATTGTTCAGTGTTAAATATAATATATAAATAAATTACCACAGATTGTCAAACCAGCAATGTAGATTGACTAATTATTCAATGCTGAATAGAACAGTTCATAGCTACATATCAAGTCAAGTTCAGCTCTACACAAACCGCCTTAACTAGTTAAGCTTTCGTGAATTTACAACAGATGATGGTCTTCATGAGAATCTTAATAGTAGACAATTATCAAAAGCTCAGTTTAGTGGATTGCAAACGTCATACGCTTACTAAACAATAGCAATACGTTTCTTAAGTTGTTGTCAATAGCTAATTTCCAAAGTTTAACCCACGAGCTAATCTTAACTAGACCACTATTGGAAACATGGAAGCGCTGGACGGCCGTTCTGTCCTAGCCTGAGACTACTCAACAGTGC